TAAAAAGCCGGTGAATCACTAAATCACTAAATCAGAAAAACCAGAAGAGGTTATTTATTTGGTGTTTGGACATCTTAACACCTATTTTATTGCCAGAAAGGGGAAAGCCCTTTTTAATTATTCCGTTTTTAATTATTCAATTTTTAATCATTCCCTTTTTAATATTCCATTTTAATTATTCCATTTTTAATTATTCCCTTTTTAATTATTCCCTTTTTAATTATTCCCTTTTTAATCATTCCCTTTTTAATATTCCATTTTAATTATTCCATTTTTAATTGTTCCCTTTTTAATTATTCCCTTTTTAATATTCCATTTTAATTATTCCCTTTCACACTTTGATACTGGCAAAATGTCCCATGGCACTACATCATTATTTTTAAAAAAAGCTTCTTTTTACACAATCCTGTTGTGTTTTAGGTGTTGTGTATGTTTTTTTTTGTTTAACTATATGCCATTGGCATGAATAAAAATAAAAATACAAAGACAAAATACGCTCCTGGTAAAAAAAAAAAGTTACTGTATTTACTGTACCGTACTTACCACTCCAATTTGGAAGACTGCATCACGGGGCGATGTGTATACGTGCAGTGTTTTCATTGTTTACCGCGTACGGAGTGTTCATCATTTTTCCCGATGTAAATGTTGAACACTGAAGCAACAACGCGCGTGGTGGCTGCCGGCAGCCCAGCGGGTGGGCCCCCTCCGGGGCACGGCGCCGGTATCGCCGGAACGGCCCGCGCACCGGAGTCAGTGCACGTGGGAAGCAGCTGCCCAGTCAGTAATCGATGATCTTCTTTAATATTTGGCGGAGTTCGGGCGGGGGATGGGGAAAAACGTCCCACCCCCCGTCCCCCCCCCCCCCAAAAAAAAAAAACTTAATGCCTTTCATCATTTATTTTCAGTATTGTACAATTAAGATGAAACACAAATAACTTGATTACAAACGCCCACCTACGGTGAACGTTTATTTTTTTATGAGTTTTGTTTTTTTACGTGACTCGCGGTTCAACGCGCTCGTTTTATTTCCGCGACTGTTTACACGGGCACACCTACCTGGTCACTTAATTACGCGCATTTCATTATTTTTTTTAAAACATTAATGTAATAGTCGTTTTTCATTTTGGGTGGCGCCGTTGTTAGCACACTGCGCTAAGAAGCTGGTAACCCGAGATCCGCGATTCCGGGCCCGGCGCCAACATAAGTGGCGATGATTTTCTATCTGTCATAAATAAACAAGAACACCTCATCATACGCAACGACAACAACAACAACAATGTGAGTCCTTTCCTCTATTGGCGCAGAAGAGCGCCACCTAATCCCAAGACTCGCTCTCAGGAGGTGCTCCTACACGCAGTCGTTCGGCCATTAATCCTATTCGTGTGAGCCCATCGGTGTCTCTGTGTGCCTATGGGTTTCTATGTAAATTCACGGGTCTCTGTGTGAGTATATGGGTCACTACATAATCCTTAGGTTTAAATGCGAGTCCATGGGTATCTATGTGAGTCTGTGGGTATCTATGTGAGTCTGTGAGTATCTGTGAGTCTGTGGGTATCTATGTGAGTCTGTGGGTATCTATGTGAGTCTGTGGGTATCTATGTGAGTCTGTGGGTTTCAATGTGAGTCTGTGGGTATCTATGTGAGTCTGTGGGTATCTATGTGAGTCTGTGGGTATCTATGTGAGTCTGTGGGTTTCTATGTGAGTCTGTGGGTATCTATGTGAGTCTGTGGGTATCTATGTGAGTCTGTGGGTTTCTATGTGAGTCTGTGGGTTTCTATGTGAGTCTGTGGGTATCTATGTGAGTCTGTGGGTATCTATGTGAGTCTGTGGGTTTCTATGCGAGTTTGTGGGTATCTATGTGAGTCTGTGGGTATCTATGTGGGTCTGTGGGTTTCTATGCGAGTTTGTGGGTCTCTATGTGAGTCTGTGGGTTTCTCTGTGAGTCTGTGGGTTTCTCTGTGAGTCTGTGGGTTTCTATGCGAGTTTGTGGGTCTCTATGTGAGTCTGTGGGTTTCTATGTGAGTCTGTGGGTTTCTCTGTGAGTCTGTGGGTTTCTATGCGAGTTTGTGGGTCTCTCTATAATCTATGGGCCTTTATGTGAGTCTATTCGTCTCTGAGTGATTCTGTGAGTCTTTAAGACGGAACCTCACCGAGTCTCGAGACTCGCCCTCAGGAGGGTCCTGCCACACGGAGATGTTTGCCCGTGAATCCCGTCAGCAGTGAGGGGTTGGCTCCGTGTCGGAGGAGAGCGCAGACCCCGGAGAACACTCAGCCCCAAGCTGCTGCACACGAGGAAAGGGGGGGGAGACACTCAAACCACCGCACAGATGGATTCAATCACACACGCAGGAACGTTCTCTGGATTTCTCAGGGGTCTCCGGTTCCTTCCCACATGGCAGCCAAACGCTGCCAAGCTGCAGAGGAATTCACCAAGCATCCCAGTTGTGTGGCAGCACCCTCTTGAGCAGGGGGCTTGAGACTCGGCGATGCTGTGCCGGGTAAATGAGTGACTCCTCTGTGATTGGGGCTATAGCGGGGGTCGCTGAGTTCCAAAAACCAAACAGTGACTGGGCCCTAAACACAGTCCAAAAGTCGCGCCTCCTCCAGGGGGGGGGGCAGGGTGCGGGGGACTGGGGGGAGGGTGGAGATGGAGGTGGATACCCGGTACAAATCTTTTCTCCTTCAAATAACAGCAACAAGAACATTGAGAGAGGGAGGGAGAGTGGAGGGAGAGAGGAGGGAGAGTGGGGGGGAGTAACTCCCAGTTCCAGGAGTGAGGGGAGGGAGGGAGGGGAGGGAGGGAGTGAGAGAGGGGAGGGAGAGTGGGGAGGGAGAGTGGGGAGGGAGGAGGGAGGGAGGGAGAGTGGGGAGGGAGGAGGGAGGGAGGGAGAGTGGGGAGGCTCTACAGCTGCGTTATTCGCAGAGCGAACGACTCGCAGTGGGCGACGTCATCGCCTGAGATTGGCAACCTCAGCGTGGAGCGCGCCGCGATCACCTGGGCTCACCCCGGCCCCCCCCCCCCTTAATTACCCCCCACCCCCGCCCCTCACCCACCCACAGCGCCAACCCCTCGCTCCCAGCTGTTCTCTGGTACAAGGAACTGGGAGTTACTCCCTTCCGCCCTATCACTTCCCCCCATCACTCCGCCGCATCATTTAATGGCCGGCCGTCGGCCCTCCGATAACGTCAAGTGTGGAAGTCTCGCTGCTGGTCATCGGACAGGCCCAGGTGCCGTGGATTGACCGACTGAGATGACTGACAAATTCACCACCTGTGCCCCTCACGACGCCACCTCGCAGCGATTTAGCCGCCTGGCGCTCCGCTCGTTGTTGTGAACATCGCTCCTCTGCCACTCAGCTCCGTATCCTCCTGAACCCCATCAGCTCCATCTCTTCTCCAGCCCGTGCCGCGCACCGTTTATCCCCCTCTATCCGGCCAAACAGAAGCTGCGTGGGCTGGGAATGCAGGCTTCATGACTCTGCCAACGCAGCCTCGCCTGCCGAAGGAGCTCACCCATGATGGGACTGTGTTCAGATCTTTCAATGGTCTTTGAGCTCCTCACAAAATCCATTCTCATTCAAACCCAGGATGGATCGTAGGCCGGTTGTTTAGCAAGCGTGGAGAAGGGCGTCCTAACTGTGGCCGAGAAGACCTCACGAGCTTCGTGTGGAGCTCGGTAAGCCACTGATTCAATGATGCCGCTCGATTGACTCGGAGTGAGACCTCCGCTGCCAATCCAGAGCTGGTCATAAGCACACTGCCCAGGTACGGAAACTCCTCCACTCTCTCCACAACTGCCTCAAACATATATACACAGACATATACTGTACACATATAGACCCATGCATGCACATACAAAGACATATCCCCCGTATAACCTTAACAGACTGTTGGGGCAAGTGCTGTGGGGGTGGGTAGCCAGCACCACGCCCGGCCGTCTTTGTCTCCCCAGTTTACACACCGCTCCAGGTAGCCATTTAAGGCCGAGTAGACCTTGGGGAGGGCCTTTGGATCGGTTCAGATCGTCGTCACTGGTGTTTGCCGTGAGCGGGAATCAAACTCGGGGTTCGTAAAGCAGACAGACAGAGAGACAGAGAGACACACAGACAGACACACAGACAGACACACACAGACACACACACAGACACACAGACAGAGAGACAGACACACAGACAGAGAGACAGACAAACAGACACACAGACAGACAGACACACACACAGACACACAGACAGACACACAGACAGAGAGACAGACACACAGACACACAGACAGAGAGACACACAGACAGACACACAGACAGACAGACACACACACAGACACACACACAGACACACACACAGACACACAGACAGACACACAGACAGAGAGACAGACACACAGACACACAGACAGAGAGACAGACACACAGACAGACAGAGAGACAGACACACACAGACAGAGGTCCCCCATATAGCCTTGCAAAGACTGATGGGGCAAGTGCGAAGTTCGCACACGGCGCCATTTCACCTGAGGCTCCACCCACTCCATCACATCCCCCCCACCCCATCACTCCCCCCCACCCCATCACCCCCCCCCCCATCACTCCCCCCCACCCCATCACCCCCCCCATCACTCCCCCCCCCCCCATCACACCCCCCCATCACACCCCCCCATCACACCCCCCCATCACTCCCCCCCATCACCCCCCCATCACACCCCCCCCATCACTCCCCCCCACCCCATCACTCCCTCCCATCACTCCCCCCACCCCATCACTCCCTCCCATCACTCTCCTCCATCCCCTCCCCCCATCACTCCCATTACTCCCACAACATCACTCGCTCCCATCACTCCTCCACTCACCCTCCCATCACTAAAGTCGCCTTGACTGCACGCATCTCCTCACCCCTCCCTCCCACCCCTCACCCCTCCCCTCACCCCTCCCCCCTCCCCTCACCCCTCACCCCTCCCCCGGCTCGGGAGGGGTCCTGTGACGTCACTCCCGCTGACGCGCCGAGTCGCGCGCACTCGGGGAGGGAGGGAGGGAGAGAGAGGGGGGCAGCAGAGAGAGAGAACTCGCGACTTCTTCTTCATCATCCCCCTCGCTCGCTGCTCCGCTCGAGTCAAAGGGGGTAGGCGGACATCTCCTCGGCCCACATCGGTCTCCTCCAGTACAGGAGCCCTGTGGAAGAGACCCCCCCCCCCTAGTCTCGGATACCCTCTCTAAGAACTCCTTTTGGGACTGATCTCGACTCTCGAGGAGCGGGGACGACTCTCTCGGAGCCCTGCTAAGGAAGGGAGCCTGCCGAAGGTACCTCTCTCGGACCCCTGCCGGACCCCTGCCGGAGAGGGACCCATCGCTTCAAGAGAGCTGCAAGTGGGAGGAGCGGGGGTGAGCGGAGACCCCGGGACTGCTACTTGCGGGAACGCGAGGCTGCGTGGAGACTTTGGGGTCCGCAACAGGGGTCCTGACCCCGCTACGACCGGGGGGTCCCGCGACCCTCTCGCCGCTGGGAGGTGAGACCAAGGGACCGCGACTCCCTCTCCCCCACCCCTTCCCCACCTCTCCCCACCAAAAGAAATAGAGAGGGGCCAGGTTAATGTTGTTACGGTGGGCAGCGCGGGGATCACAAGTAACACACACACACACACGCTGATACTCTCAACAAGGACGTCCCAACCATTAGAGAAAGGTTCCCCGTGTAGCCTACACATGGCGATAGCGGCAAGTGCTGTTAGCGAGTGGCACCTATGAAGGCTGGCACGGCCCACGACGGCGTGGGTGGCTGAGCTCCACGCCCGCCCGCCTTTGTCTCCCTCTCGCTAATGTTGACACATCGCACCAGGCACTCTTTGGAGGTTGAGGGGACCTCGGAGAGGCCCAGGACCATATTCACACACACAAAGACATTACCCACATTACAAACAAAGATAAAGATCCCCCGTGTAGCCTTAAGAGACTGTTGGGGGCAAGTGCTGTTAGCGAGAACCTATGAAGGTCGGCACGACACACGAGGGGGTGGGTGGCCAGCACCACGCCCGGCCGCCTTTGTCTCCCCAGTGGCGATGTTTACACACCGCACCAGGTACTCATTTGAGGCTGAGTCGGCCTAGGGGAGGTCCCAGGACCCGTTCAGATAATCGTCACTTGGTGTTGGCCGTGAGCGGGAATCGAACCCGGGTTGCCAGGTTCGTAGCGCAGCGTAGCGCTAACCACTACACTACCACTCATTCACACACACCGCTTCAATACACACACACACATGTATAAACTCAATAACATACTCGCATTGATACCTACACATATACAAAACATTCCCCCGTATGGCCTTGACAGACTATTTGGGGAAAGCGCTGTTAGCGAGCATTTATAAAGGCCTATACACACACACATAAGACACTCAGAACGCATCACCACACACACGCACGTACTATTTACACACGTACACACGTACTATTTACACACGTACATGCTTAATTATGGTGACAATCATCAGCCGTGGTCAATCCACTGCTGGATAAAGATCGATGTGAATATATCTCTCGCCTGCGTGTGTTCTCGAATCCGCGTGTTCTTGTTTCTGCGTTTCGGTGCAAATTCCAGGTGCGTCCATAACAAACCCTGAACCCACGCATGACATACATTGTACCCAGAGCATAGACCATGTACCCGATACACACTAAACAAGTTACACGAATAATAACAACGTGCAGGCCTTTGTCAAGCCAATAGTTGTTTGACCATACCTCGCCACACTGATCACTGCTGGTTTCTGAATGAATACGTGGCGAGGCGGTGGGGGGGGAGGGGTGGATGAGGGGGTCAGAAACTGGTTCAGATATCTATACTCTTTGTCCTCCAGACAGTCTCGTCCCTTCACCTGATGAAGGCCGCTTGTGTTGTGGCCGAAACGGCGTGATTTTTGTTATTGTATTTTTTACCTACGTGACTTTACACAATAGAACCAAAGAGTATGGATCCTAGCAGTCACGAAAGATTTAAATCTAGAATTGGTTCCGATATCACTCGCCACTGTTGCTATTAGGGGCCATCCATTTAGTACGTCCACGAAAAATCTGTCGAAACTTGACAGCCCCTCCCTGTACGCACGCGGACTTTTTACACCTCCCCCCCCCCACCTGCGTACGTACGTACGCTTGACTCCCCCCCCCCCCGAATCCTATAGAACGGCCGATATTTCATCCACGCAGAAACGATCAAGGATGAATAATATTAACGTGTTTAAGCAAACAGATAGTCCACCGCCGGACTATCTAACACTCATTTCAAGGGCAATGTAGACAAATTATTATCGAGGCTTCACCCCCACCCCCCCGTTTCCTATGCGTACGTACTAAATGGATGGCACCCAAAGAACCTCTATTATCGAGTTATATATAAAATCACTGATACGGAGCGGTGGTGCAATGCTTAGCGCACTGCAAGGCCGTAAAAATGGAGTCAACATTGGGGGTGACCAAATCTTCCAGGGTGTCCCAACCCAGAAAAATATCTACATTTGAAAACCCATTTATTTTTTACAATAGTGTCTAATAGTGTATTGTATTACATTGCCCTGTTTTTACTTTTTTACCATTTCTTGTTTTATTGCATGTAATGTCAGAGATTAGGGATTAATAAAGTACAAACATAACCACAATCATATTAACAGAAATCTACGTATTGATTTATATGAAGACAAGTCAAGATATTTTGGCCAAGTTTTAGAAAATTGTTATATTTATTTACATAGCATAACAATATATTGGGGAGGTACATTTTGAGCATATTTAATGCGTGTCCCCCAATATATATTATAATTACGGCCTTGGCGCACTGCGCTACGAACCCCGCTGCCTCAGAGTGCGATTCATCGACATCAGTGGTGAGCCGATCCTTTATCTCCCTTAGGTCGACTCAGCCTTAATGCAGTACCTGCTGCAATATGTAATATTACACAATTACACACTTAAATTTTGATTTAAAGCTTTCGTGACTGCAGTAATTCATATTCTTAGTTCTTTCGGTAAAGTCACGTTGAAGGGAAACAATAAAATAATATAATATATATAAAACAATAAAAATTCTCACGACGTTTCGACCATAACACACCTGAAGACGACCGTTTGTGTTATGGTCGAAACGTCGTGAGAATTTTTATTGTTTTATATATATTTTATATTATTTTATTGTTTCCCTTCAACGTGACTTTACCGAAAGAACTAAGAATATGAATTACACACTTGTACAGCAGGAGAGAGAGAGACAGAGACGTGCGGGCCACCCAGCCCTCGTTCCGGCCTTCATAGGTGCTTTCCTCAACAGTCTATTAAAGGCTATACGTGGCATATTTGTCTTTGTAGTTGTATGAGATTGCGTGCATTGTGTGTGAGTGCCTGTGGCAATGTGCATTGTTCTGTGGACCCCCTTAATGGAGCATCTTCGCCGGTTGGAAACATTTAGGCTGGCCTGCCTACGATCCATCCTGGGTTTAACCAGGCTGGATTGTGTGAGGAGCTCACAAATCCTTGAAAGATCTGGGCAAGGTCCCATCGGTGAGCTCCTCCGGCAGGCAAGGCTGCGATGGCTGGGTCATGTAGCCCGCATGCCCAGCCACCGCATGCCGAAACAGCTTCTGTTCGGCCGGATCGAGGGGGCTAAACGGGCCCGGCAAGGGCTAGAGAAGAGATGGAGTGATGTGGTACAGGAGGACGTGGAGCTGAGTGGACTTGCCGATGACTGCTACCAGCGGTGTCAAAATCGGCCTCTGTGGAGGAGACTCGTGAAGGACGCTATTGGGCAGTTGGAAGCAGTCGCCCTCCAACAACAACGGAGGGCGGAGGAGCGACGCTCACAACAACGAGCAGAGCGCCGGGTGGCTAAAGCACAGCAGGTTGGCACAGTAGGGGACACAGGTGGTGCATCAGCCAGTCATCTCAGTCAGTCGACCCGTGGCACCTGGGTCTGCCCCGTGACCTCCTGCCCGCGGGCGTTCGACACTTCACGTGGCCTCAAGGTGCACATGGCCTGGCACAAGCGTCGTGGTGACGTCATCGCCACTTAGTGGCGGTTGTTGTTGTTGTTCTGTAAACCTGACAACCCGGGCTCGATGGCTGACCACGGCTGACGTCAGTGGCGAGTGGTGGTGGTGACCCCAACCCAGGGGTCGGCAACCTGCGGCACCGGACTGCCTCCTGACGTGGAGTTAAACTGACGTGGGGTATGGTGGCCTTGATTTCATCCAGCAGTGGAATAACAAAGCGCTGTGATGATTGACAATTACATACATAGTGTGCGTGGGTGTACCGGTCTTCAACAGTCTTCAACAGTCTATTGAGGTTATACAGAGCGATCTTTTTTGAATGTGTCTGTTAATGTTAATGTGTGTGAAATTGTATATGTGTAATTGTATTTGTGTGTATCGTGGTATTGTAGTTCGCACGCTACTCGACAAAGCCGGTATGTTGAGCCTGTATGTTTGTTTAACGTATTGTAGGGAGCCAACCGTGCTAATCTGAGGTGCTAAAACAATAGGCAATTGTGCTGATATATTGTGTGACTTTGTAATTATGAGAAATCAATACCCAGCCAGCCCATCCTGAATATTTTTTTTCTCGACTTGCGTGCGAGTACGCCAGTACGCGTTTCCTGCTGCTGCCGCCATCTGCTGGTCACTGCTGGTCACTTTCACGTGCATCCCAAACCATACTTCACCACGCTGGTTCAGTGTTGCTGGTTCAGTGCTGCCTGGTCAGCGAACAATCCCAGCAAACAATCCCAGCAATAACATTCTCAACATTTGTACCTGTTTGTGTGTTGTAAACATCAGTTTGGGGAGCAGTGGCGCAACGGTTGGCACACATACTTATTGATTTCGATTTACGGGAATATATTTCAGTGACATCTGGCGCGTGGTTTTTGTGTTGCGGGACGGGACATGGGAAGGGTGGTTGTGTTGAGTTGGAACTGGCTTGGCGCCAGTGGAAGGATTGTGTTATTTGAGTGATGTGGCAAGTAATATATTGTTAAGGCCCTCGGTGAGATTTGAACTCGCGACCTCTGGATTTACGAGACCGATGCTCTAACCGCTAAGCTATGCAGCCAGCTGGTATCTGGCGTGGGGTCCGAACTCCTCTTCCATCAGCTCGAGTCTCACACGCAACAAGGGATGTGGGGAGGGAGCGAATTACATGGTGCACTGATTATTATGATTCAGACTCGGACTTTATTCCAGCTGTGAGGCCCAATGAGTTGAACAGCTTTGTTACAAGTTTTTATTTACTTCAGTTTTTATTTATTTATTTTGGTATAGCCCTGTGAGCTATTCGGCTCTTGAATCGGGTGCAACCACAACAAACAAAAAAACAAAAACACGAACAAGAAAACATCTTAAAATGACTTTGTGACTTTGCAAACAGAAAATCCATGAAAAAAAACAGCAAAATATTCCTGAAAAAAGCACCGTACACCAATGCTGTGTGCAAAAAAATCCCAGTGGGATGCAAGTCAAACCACA